AAAAAAAAAAAAAAAAAGTAAAGGCCACAAAAAAGACGTCTAGTAGGTACAGTTGCAGCCTGGGCGTGGAAGCAGCTGGAACCTGCTCTCCACGGGCCACCAGCACGACCCAGACTCCTCCATGCCTCAGGGTTCTTCCCAGCAAAACCAGGAGAACTTTGCCACACTGTGGAAGAGTCCAAGAGGTCTTCCATTCATATGTGTGAGTGTGTCCAGACAGCGCACAACGTGCCAGGTGCTGTGGCTCAGGGAAACACGTGCCAGCGGAAGACGCGCCCCCGTGAGGGGATTCTGCCACCGCTGCCCGGGCGGCTCGGGAAGCCCCCCTTTCCTTCTCTGTAACAGGACAGGAATTAACTTGATCAGTTCTAAGACCGTTAGCCTGGAAAACGTGAAAGCCTGACTCCCAGGCAGCAGCCCCCGTCACAATTCCCGGTACTGCGTTTCTACTCCTCTTGCCTTTAGTTTTTGCCCTTGGTTTGGTATCTGGGTTTTCTTCCTTCTCATAACACAAGGGACGAAATGCAGAAAAATGAGAACCAGTGAGAAAGAAAATGACATCAATACACGCATAACGAAAGATGAATTCTCATATATGAACAAGCGTCTCCCAATGTTTATGACCTACTCAAAGAGGTCCAATACCTAACGATTTCAGGAAGCCCCTGTGCCATTGGGCTATCCGCAGTTACCCAGAAAGGTCTGTTGACTTCCATTTCACCTGAGACAAGAAGCTGAGAGAGAAGACGGAAGGCCTCACCTGACAACGACAGTGGCAATGATGCCATTCACAACCGTCTTGTCACACTGAATGTCGTCTGCTATCCAGGCGGCCCCCAGAGAAGCCCAGCCCATCTCTGGCAGAAAGAGCGCCAGGCGGATGTAAAGCAGCTTAGCCATGGATTTCCGTGGTCCAGGGTTACAAATGGTTCCTGAAACACAGAAGATATTCAAACTGGTCACCTGCTTCCTCAGACACTTCCTTCCCACAGAAACAGCAGAGCACCTATTAGCACGGTACCCACCTGGCTCCGTCTACTTGTAACTGGTACTCAAGGCCTAAGATTGACTGTCAGTGACCGATGAGGGGTGGGAACATGACAGAAAGCCTCCGGGTTCTACCTGGGGCGACCATATAATCGCCAAACTGGGATACCTCTGAGAGAGGAAGGAGGAGCTGTTCATAATTATGCTGGAACGGCTGGCACCAAACAGAGCTGTCCCAGGCCAACAGACCTACACAGTCACCAAGTTCAAGCAGCCACAAGAATGACTCCACCACCTAATCGAGACCTATGGCGTTCAGGCACCATCTGAAACACTTCACGTCTATTATTCTGTAATCCTCACGACTCTGAAAACAGTTACCATCCCATTTTTTTTAATATTTATCTTTTGAGAGAGAGAGAGAGAGAGACACGGAGCATGAGTCGGGGAGGGCCAGACAGAGAGAGGGAGACACAGAATCCCAAGCAGGCTCCAGGCTCCGAGCTGTCAGCACAGAGCCCGACGCGGTGGTCGAACTCACGAACCGTGAGATCATGACCTGAGCCAAAGTCAGATGCTCAACCGACTGAGCCACCCAGGCACCCCCACCATCCCATTTTACAAATGAAGAAACTAAGGCTAGGAGAGCTTGGTAACTACTTTCTACAACATAATCCAGGTCTGTGTGGTCCCGGCTCTGTCTCACCAACGAACTCACTTTTGGGAAGTGAAAAATTCTGATGCCTAAGATCACGTGAAGAGGCCTATTCAGACACGGACTTTATTTTTTTTAAACGTTTATTTATTTTTTGAGACAGAGAGACAGAACGTGAACGGGGGAGGAGCACGGAGAGAGGGAGTCAAAGAATCTAAAGCAGGCTCCAGGGTCTGAGCTGTCAGCACAGAGCCGTATGCGGGGCTCGAACGCATGAATTGGGAGATCACGACCTGAGCCGAAGTCGGATGCTTAACCGAGTGAGCCACCAAGGCGCCCTCAGACATGGCCTTTTTACTCTGCATACAAAACAAATCCAAGTATCAAGAGAGAGGCCTGGGTGCTTCAATTCCTGATGTTAAACATCAACTCTCTCCCTTTGGGAAAAAGTTGTGATAAAATACTGATTTAGGCAACATAAAAATGCCATGATTAAAACAAAAACAGTGAAGGAAAAAAGCCCCCAGAGCAATGAATGAAAACAAGATCTAAAGAATGATTTGGTGAGGAAATAGCTTTTAGGTTCCAAAAATGACCTCAGAGTCACATTTTAAAGTGTTAGACACTATTGGGCCCCATTTTTGGCACAAAGACAAAATAGAAGGTAACCAAAACAACACTGTCTCTCTCTGAGGGACAAAGTGCAGGCATATGAAAAATCAGTGCTCTATTTGGAGCCCGCTACTAACAATAGGCGATGACCCGCAAAACAGGAAACAGTATCTGGGCTCACTCACGGGGAGCACCGGAAGGCAGGAGCTCCGAATAAGGGAATGAATTCCCCAACAGCACCTGGGCCCGAAACTCCCGACGTCCTGATACTATGCGAATGAAATAAATAAATAGGGAAGCAGAAAATGGAGTTCTGATTAGGATTCCAAAGAGAAATAAAGATGCTGAAAAAAATCTCCTTTATATAGTCATTCCTATGAAAACGTTTTTATTTACATATAGATCTTCCTCTCAAGGCAAGGGGTCGCCAGGGCGGACTCAGCTGCTGCAGTGCGCGAGGCTGCTGCTGCTGCTGCTGCCTCATAACGAGCGAGCAGAACTTCATCCTTGAATGGAATGTCCTCGGCACAGCCTTGGTCTTCATCAGGCATAGCCATTTATGTACAAACCACAAAAGGCAGGCCCGTGTCACAGAATCTTTGGCTTAACACCTCCAGACACTGCCGTAATCTTCTCCAGCACAAAACGAGCTGCAAGCTCGCATATAAATGCAGAGGAGATGCGAGGAAATGTCCCACAATCAGGGTCAAACACAGTGAACGGCAGACCCTGGAGGGTGAGGGTATTCTTCCAAAACGTGGCTGTCATGAGGCTGGACCTTCCCTAATCAAACCTCCTACATGGGACCAACAGCAGGATTTCATCAGAGAAGTTCTCAAATCAAAACTGGAAACTACCACAATATCAAGATTCTTCCCAACTACGCTACACAGATGACCAGGAAAAAGAGGACAGGTAGATACACAGGCATCAGTCTTCTGGGCAAAGATGAGCTCCACTGGTTCCAAATGCGTCCTCTGCGACTGGGGGCGTTTCCTCCTTTACAGAGTAATGTCAGCCAAAAGCTATATAAACACTGTCTTTCAGTACAAGTGACAGGTTAATCACCGAGATGCCTCCCGGAACAGAAGGGGCAAAAGAAATTATCCGTGTATCAAGAATAAAATTAACCAATGTGCTATTACAAAATATAACTAAGGTGTGCCTGGGTGGCTAAGTCAGTTAAGGCGCCTGACTCTTGATCTCAGCACAGGTCTTGGTCTAAGGGTCATGAGTTCAGGCCCCGCACTGGGCTCTATGCTGGGTGTGACACCTGCTTAAGAAAATAAAAATAGGGGCGCCTGGATGGCTCAATTAAGCGTCCGACTTCGGCTCAGGTCATGGTTCCACGGTTTGTGGGTTCGAACCCTGCATCGGGCTCTGTGCTGACAGCTCAAAGCCTGGAGCCTGTTTCAGATTCAATGTCTCCCTCTCTCTCTGCCCCTCCCCTGCTTGCGCGCTCTCTCTCAAAAAATGAATAAACGTTTTTTAAAAATTAAAAAATAACAATTTACATACATATACAAAACTTACAATTTACAGAAAACTCATCAATTTTGTGCAGGTAATGCATGTAAATGGTAAAAAGTTCAAACAATTCAAGTAGGTACATAGTATTAAGCCTCTGTACCCCAGTCTTTCGGTTGTCTTCTCTTCAGGAAAAGGTAGCAAACTACATACAAGGTCCTATACCTATGTGTATTGGAAATCACTCCTTACCTGTCCACAAAGCAGTCCCATTCTTTGTAACATGTGCAAAGACCCAACCCATGGCCTAGTGACAGGAATGGGGTTTATTCTGATCTTTCATACCTACAAATAGCACTGCAATGAACATCCCTACGAGGACATCTCCCCCCCCCCCCCCCCCCCCATTTTTATTTACATTCTAGCCAGTTAACATACAGTGCAATGTCGGTTCAGGAGTAGAATTTAGTGATTCGCCACCCACACGTAACACCCACTGCTCATCACAAGGGCCCTCCTTAGTAGCAACCTCTTGCCTCCCTCCATCAACGCTGTCTGTCCTCTATTGTTAAGAGTCTCTTAACATTTTTTTTCCCTTCCTATATATTCATCTGTTTTGTTTCTTCACCTACAAGGACTTGTCTTCACACGTGCAAATATATACAAAAATACTGCCTAGTACACAGTGTACTTCCCAAATCTGGCTTCCAACGTATACTTACAAACAAAACGAGCTGCTTATTTCCGCACAGCCTTGCCAACTCCATGTATTATGTGGGTGACTTTTTGTTATGGCGACTGAGGCTGAACGTTTTTAGTACATGTAAAAGTCACTTATATTTATTTTACTGTTTATGACCTTTGCCCGTTTTTCTACTGACGATCAGTCTTTTTCTTATTTATTGTAGTAGGACCCCTAATACATGAAGAAGATTGGCTTTAAGTCTCATATGTTACAATATTGTTTTCATTTTGCTTTTTTTAACCTTATGATATTTTTCTGAAATTTACTTAAGATATATATATTTTGATGTTTATTTATATATTTTGAGAAAGAGAGAGAAGGTACGTGCACACACGCACGCAGGTACAAGAGGGGCATAGGGAGAAAGAGAATCCCAAGCAGGCTCTGCACTATCAGCACAGAGCCCTATGTGGGGCTCAATCCTACGAACCGTGAGATCATGACCTAAGCTAAGATCCAGAGCCACCGAGGTGCCCTTAATAAGGCATACAATATTATTTGTAACACACTGGCAATTAAACTAACATGCTTTATAAAGTACTGTTTTTAGTTCGGTTGTGGTATCTCCAGCCACAAGTAACAAAAGGTTTAAGAACAGGAAGGACCTGTCCTGACTTCAGGGACTGGAAGTGCAGAGCCAAGACAGGTGTCACCGGCATTCTTGCTTCTCACGGCTCTGCCTTCCTTTGTGTGTCAGCTCATTCCAGGCTGTGAGTAGAGATACAGCAGGAATTCAGCGGCTTGTCCATACACAGAATCACCCAGGGCAAAAACTGTGTTCCTTCTGGATCTTTCCTACAGGAGCAAGGAATTGGGTCACATGTCCACTGGCTCATCCATGAGAATCATTCCTGAGCTGGGTGGAGGGTCAGCTTCTCTGACACACACACTTCCTATGTGAGCG